CATGGGCATAGTCAAACAAAATGGTACATGTAACAGCAAACAAGAATATGACACAGAAAGAAAGAGATGTGCTCATCTACATTTGATTGGAGGTAGTCAAATAGCTGAAATTATATAACCATTAAGATATGTTTTCCTGATAACTACCCATATTCACATATTATCTATTTATTTTTCTCTTGTATCTTAGTGGAACTTGGAACATATCTGACCTATTTTTTTCCACTGGGCATTTACTGTGTTGCTGGAAACAAAACTTCTCATTCTTTCTGGTTACATTATCCTCATAAATTGCAGTAAGAGAAGCAATATTTTTAATGAGCATTTGTGTCATTAAACAGAAAAATGTTTACTGAAATAATCTCTACTAGTGTGCGGTAGGGTTAGAGTTTGAGCCTTTCCAGTCTGCAGCCAGAAATATTAGCTAGCTGAGTAATTGTTTCAGAGCAAAATACACATTTCTAGAGTTGTCCCTTCCTAAAATGTTGCTGTGAATGGCATGGTTCCTAGGAGCTCTGGAAATGGACTTCTGAAAGGAAGGATTTGATCAAACAGAAAGGTTTTAGGCTGCGCAGATATTTTGTATCTGCATAAACACAAAAGTGGTGTTGCATAATAAGGACCATTTTTTTTCCTGTAATTTTTAACTATATTGTCAGAGCTGAACTATTTTGGGAGCTAGCTTTCCTTTGGTTTGTAATGTTTGGAAAATTGCAGTGGTAGAGCTTGAGTTACTGTTGCAGAAGGAGGGACAGCGCTGCTCCTCCTGTTGCTCTGATGCACATGGAGTTAAGCGTGGCTGTCACCTCCACGGTGTGATCTGCAGGTAAGATAGGTAAAAGCTTGTAACCTTCAGATGTTTGCGCTTCCTGTGAATGTGCTGTTTTCATGAACAGACTACCTCCGCTCCTAATTTCTGATACTAAGTTCATTCTAGTATTGTATTTGTAAAGTCCTCTTTTCTCTCTTAAAATAATTTTCTTTTTACTGAAAATGCTTATGATTGTTTTCAGACTGAAATGATTTTGGGAGAAGTAAGAAAGAGGACACTTCTTTTGAAAACTAAATTTCCAAGTTTGGAGCTACAGGATATGACTGATCAGAAACTCTGCTTGGATAACTCAAAACAGCTAAAGCTAGAAAGTTCAAATGCAGCCTGACATCTAAAAAGCAAGCCAACTTGAGAGAAAATCCATTGTTTGGTGTGGAAGCTAGTTAACATTGCTTGAAGTCTTAGATGTAGACTTAGATTTCTTTTTTTATGCTACTTCAGAAATCTGTTTTCTATGCACATTTACTAAAGGTATTTCTGCTATGGAAATGTAGCTGATGGAAAGCACAAAAAAAAGTTTTAATTATCCTTACAGAATTTGACAAAGCAGGTTTTGTTAACTGAGCAGCAGTTAGTTGAGACTTGAGAAGCAAACTAAATCTGAGTATAAGTATGATCCTCAAGAAGTTAAAGCTTTGGAAAGCAGACTCATTCGTCTCCACAGTGTTTGCTCAAACATGATGTCCTTCAGCCTAACAGTGGGAGATGGTGGTTTCAGGGAGATGGCTGCATCTTTCTGGTCACGTTTGGGCTTCAGCATAGGTTAGAGCAGGCCAGGGACCACCCCAAATTGGGTGCATGGCTACATGGCCCACAGAGCCCACTCCTCAGTACGGACCAGCAAACGGCTACCCCTAGAAAGCAGTTCTCCACAAATATTTCCAGTATAGAAGGGTATATAAGGACTTGTTTCTATACTGGCTTGAAACGTGAGTAGTGGGGTGGAAAAAAATGACAAATATTTTAACTGCTGCTGTTTTGATGCAAGGAAGTGAAGACCTGTATATTTCATTTGACTCCCTGTCTCATTCTGCTGTATTATTTCATTATACCACTTCTAACACACACATCTGTATGTGAAATAGGCAGAATTTTGTAATTCAGAGCCACCGGGTCTGAATTACAGACAGTGCTGCCGTCACTGATGTCCGCAGCAAATCTTAACTTCGGCTGCAGTTGTGAAAAGTAAGCACTCCAGCGTTCCTGGTGAAGAAATCCTCTGCAAGTCTTCATTTTCAATAAATTACACATTTTCTCCACCCAACCCCCTGTTACTTCCTCAAGCCATTATTTTTAATTCTAAACTATATTTCCCGGTCCCTTTAAGTCAATGAAGTCATTCACTTTATCTTTCTGTTTTCTTTACAAATGTTAAGACCACACACTCTGAGCTCTGCTAACACACTGTATTATGCTACTAGTAGACAAATTTTAACATCACATCACATACATGTTGCAGTTGCTGTTGGAACATGCCTTTTAAAAAATACCTTTATTGGATGAAATTGTCTCTTTCCCAAGAAAAATCTGGTTCTTTAATATAATTTATTATGCCTTTTAAAATTCTGTCTGTTCAATAAAATCTTTGCTATATTATAAATACCTGTAATGAAAATATAATTTAAAATTCTGAGAGAAAACATTGTTTTTTCCTTTTACATTTTTCACAAAACCCACACAGGCACCAAGGAAAGACTAACAATAAAAATAATTTACTCCTGTACAATCTACTCTGGGTTGGAAACATTCACAAGAGAGATTTTAAACTTGTCCTCTAACGAAACTTTGGCTACAACATGGGAACTGATCTTAAAACAAAGGAGGGTCCTATGTTTTCCACTCGTTTAATCTGAAAACATCTTTCAAGGGCTGACTGAGTGTTGCTAGTATTTTCCTTGCTGTAACATACCTGAATGAGGAGTGGGTAAAATTGCTGTTATCTGAGGGAACCAGCCTCTGACCTTCATTGCATGGGACTAAAAGTGGTCCTACCTCACCAGATGGGAATATTTACTTTGGAGATTAACTCCTAGTTCTGAAAATTAAACATTAGTGGAAATAAGTTAGTGCTCTCACTCTGCAATAGCAACAATCAGGAATTTTTATGTTTTGCTTGTTCAGTAGTTACATAGTGCCAGAAAGCTTGTGTGTTGAAGGGACAGCACATGAAAGCTTTCTGATTTGGACCACGTGCAGGGATTTTTTTAATCACTTCTCATTCTAAGCAAATTTCTTAGTAGAGAGGGAGTGATTCAATGTAAAAGAGACATCCAATGGTGGAGCTGTTATCTTTGAAGTATGAACTAGAAATACGGAAGAATTCTTCAAATCAACTAAGCTCAATCTATTTAAAGCTGGCAAAAGAGCAGACTAAGCCCAAGACAGGCATGAAACCATCACAAAGAATGAATAAGCAGAGATTTTTAAATCTTAAGTTTGGTAAGACAATTTTCAAAGTTGTCTTTAAGCAGTCCCTTTTTCCATCAAAGAAGACTTAAGTACTGTTACAGTAAATAGATTTACCTTTAAATTACAGAATTCAGTGTGAAGTTTGAAAAATCTCTGTCCAAACTGATGAATTATGAGCAAAATGCTGAATTCCTTTCTTAGAGACATTTGCATCATTTTAAAGAATAGACAGTGAAGGAGAATCAAATATTTCTAGAATGTCTGGAAAACACATTTCTATAGTAGATGAAAGAGAAGTAAAAACCAGTCAGCACTTGTTTGGATTATCTTCAGCACTGCAATGAGAATGCTATCCCCAGGGAATCTTCATTTCCTTGTTCTAGATCCCCTCCAATTTCTGAGCATCCAACACTGCATTTTTTTTTTTTTTTTATTTTATGAAAAGCAAAATAATATGTCAAACTTGACTCTGACTTTAAAGAGGTATGTGTGGAAAACTGTCTAGTATATTGCTAATGTTCGGGAGCTGCCCGCCCTTATGGCTTTCTGACAGCCACCTCCGTTTCCTCCTTTCCCACATTCTCCTTCCTTCTATTCCTGTCCCTCCTCCACATCCCATGCACTCT